GCTGACGCGGCGACGCCACATGTGTCCACTAGAAAAGATCAGACCTACACTGACAGAATGAAGCAGATAAAGGGCAGATTTTAGGATCAAAATGAAGTGTAATGTTTAAGATATTTGAATATGTTAGGTGCAATATAGCCTTTTCTGCATCTGTACCTTTCCCTTTACTAAGCTAGTCAATTATAGGGAAGTACGGCCGGTCTGTGAAGATGTCTGCCTGCTCCACAAACGCCTCTTTGAAACTCTCGTATCCAGTGAGCAGGCTGCACGGATTGTTCCCCAGATACAGTGTGCTCACATCTCCATACCTCTCAGCAATCTGATCAACATGATCCGTACACATTATACATTCACATAGAATCATTTGACATATTTGTATTTGACATACAGTATGTGAATTACCCTCTGAAAGGAGCCCAGTGGATCAGTAAAGCCTATATTCAGTACACTTCCAATCAAAGGCAGAGGGAAGGGTCCTGGCGGCATGTTGTTTGTAAGAACATCTCGCAGGTGTTTCACCAGCAGAAGCACACACAGAAATATCAGGAGACCCTGAACATCCATCCACTGACCCATCAGCTGTGACAGCACTGAAGCCATGCTTACTGAGACAGATTTTACACAGGTATTTAACTTAAAAAGATAATTATAATGTTACAAAAGATTTCTATTTCAAATAACTGTGGGGAAAAAAGCTAAACTATTAAGCAGTACAACTGTTTTCAATATTGATCAGAAGAAGAAATGTTTCTTGAGCAGCAAATCGGAATATTAGAATGATTTCTGAAGGATCATGTGAGACTGAAGACTAGAGTAATGATGCTGAAAATTCAGCTTTGCATCACAGGAATAAATTACGTTTTACAATATATTCAAATAGAAATCAATTATTTAAATTGTAATCATATTTCACAATCACTGTTTTTATTGTATTTTTGACCATATAAATGCAGCCTTGGTGAGCCGAATAAACTTTTGAACTGTAAAGTATTTGTATAAACTTGTATTTTATTTTTTATTTATTTTATTATTGTACGTTACTTTATAATATACGTATTTATGTATTAAATCTATAAGAAGAATTGAGTTATGGTCTGAAGAAGTTTTGAGGGTTGTGATTGATACTGTAATGCCATAATGTTCATAAAATAAGGTAAAAATCAAATGTAATGTGTAAAGAATCAATCTTGAATTAATTACGAAGCAGAAATGCTGCCATTTTCAAAACTCAACACTTCACACAATAAGTTCACATTTCTTAATATTACTACATAACAACTAACAATGGGAAAAAAAATATTTTAAAGTATTTCTTAATCTTAGTTAATGTTAATTTCAACATTTACTAATATACGTTTTAAAATCAAAAGTTGTATTTGTTAATATTATTTAATGGACCTGAGCAACACAAACTAACTAACTAACAATGAACAGTTGTATTTGATTCAAATAACGTTAACAAACATTAACATTAAGTTTGTTATATTGTAACTAATATACAGTATTTCTCATAGTTAGTTAATGCATTAGCTAGCATTAACTAATGTGACTACATTGTAAAGTTTTACCAGTAAATCTGTGGGACTTGTTGTGTCTCATCTGAAGAAACAGTGAGTTTCTGGCTAATATTCCTGAACTTTCAAACGCTGCCTGCAGAACTAGGACACGGAGTATGAAACATGTCAGAGAGAAAATAATGCTACTTAACATACAGGTCCCAATCAATTCACACAAGCCATTATATTACACTCTTGACCTTGCAAACACAACTGTTGTCAGTTATGAATTTTTATGATATACTTCTGTTGCACCTGATATGTATGATGTGGCGATGAAGGCCTAGTTTCTTTCTGATGTTTACCATATTATTGTTAGTGGTTTTTAGAGAAAAAGTCAATTTTAATATCCTTCAGCCTTGTGTAAAAAAAGACATTTGAACTGCTATATAAAACCAAATGATCAAGTACAAGCAGGATGGATGTTGGGTCAGAAACACAACCATATTAAATGTTAATATGGGTTAATTACGATCACTTTCCCACTTGCCTTAGTGCGTGATCCTATTTAAGGCTTATGGAATAGTGGTAACATTGCATCATTGTGCAGAAACATACTTCGTTGATTTTAATAAGTGAGTGGAGATAATTGTCTGTTCTTAATGTCACAACAAACCACAGCAGATCAGACTCAAACACACACACACACATGCATTAAATGACCTACCAATCTAACATTCCCCTCATTTCATGTGTTTAAATGCACATGCATTCATGGCCTAAACCATACAAACTAATACTGCATAATCTGCAGTGCATGTCATTTATGTACCTCTTTATACGGTGCAAAATATAATCATCTCAATGTCTAAAAGTCCAAAACAATTCTGAACTGAATGTAAATAATTATTTTTATCAAATACCATATAAGTTAAATTAATTTAATTATATACATATAGATGTGAATATTATATTATTATATAGCCTACAGAAGTCGTATATTATAGGCATGCCTGAGTCTGTTATTCTTGATGCGCAAGCAACCGTGTATGTGCCCTCTCAGCGCACTGATCACCATCACTATTTCAATATAGTCACATAGCTGTCAAAATTAACGTCCTGCAAGTGTTTTATAATGGATGCTGGCCGAGGAAGCATGTTTTGGAGAAGTTTGTGAGGATCAGGGCCCGTATTCTTAAAGCTTCTAAGAATCCTCTCAGAGAGCTCCTAATTTACCTTAAAAATTTCTAACTAGGAATCTTAGCTTAAGAGTGATTCATGACCAATCTGAGAGCAACTTTGAGCGAGGAAAAGACAAAACCGTTCATCTTAGTGAGAAGGCGAGGATGACCCCATTGCTAGTGATGACACATTCTTTTGAAGACTGTCATAGGTTGTCCAAGAAAAAACAAATAAGAGCACTTTTAAATAGGGTCTATTATAAGCCCTCACTTTGAGATTACAGGCCTAATTTTTTCTATTTTACCTGTCATAATAATGAAAGAAAACAAATATTTTAGGAATCTGTCAAAAAACTTTTTAAAGCTAAATATTGTATTGTCATTTATTGGGCAAATAACAGACTGAAACAACTAAATAATCTTTTATTAAAATCAAATATTTTATTTTGTATGGCCTTGATAACAGCTTGCATTCTAGCTGACATTGTTTTTATGTACTTTCCCCCAGTCTCTGTTTTCAGAAACCTAAGGGTGACGTCACGGACACTACGTCCATGTTTTTATAGAGTCTATGGTCATGACGTTAGAAATAAAATTTGCAGGCATCCAGTGTTATGAAAACAGATATGCTGTGATGAAGTCACGGCGCGTTCCCTTAAGGCCCGACTATTTTATAACGTCACTGCGCACTCAGTCAGAAAAAAATGTAAATAAAAAATGTAGTACATAAAATAAAAAACAGTAGTAAAATATTATAATGTATTTTATGATCATTAATAATATATATAAAACAGAATAATTAAAAATGTATTAAAAGAATCAAACTCATTCTGTGCTAATACTGAAAAAGGATCCACTAAAAACGTTTTCATATATATATATATATATATATATATATATATAACCTGTCCTTGTGTGTGTTTTTGTATGTTATTGGTGTGTCTTTGTTTGGACCGAGTGTGTCCTTAATAAAGTTTGATGAAACGATCACTTAAAAATATGCCTGGATTTGTTTTTGTAGCAGAAACAATTATGGGGGGAAAAAAATGAATGTCATTGTAAATTTGACAATGTCACACATTTATTAAGGTGACTTTTGTGACATTTGTGTAAAATGCAGGACATGACAAGAACAACAGGAAAAACACATTTTCTGTGTTTTTCTACAGCTTAACATATTTTGATTATTGTTACATGGCATGACTGGACATGGATTACAACAATTTCTTTTTTTTTGAAAATGTGACATCTGACAAAATTACACTTTGACAACAAAGGACAAAACAAGTTGTTGATATGGCAAGAGTAACCAGGTAAATTGTCTATAATTATTTTTTTTGTTCACCTTTATTGTTAAAAGTGTAGTACAGCAGAAGTGGACAGAACCTTCAATCTGATGTCTCAATCTTATTTCTGAAGCATTTTTTTCTTCTTTTGCCAGTTTGAGACAACTGTGAGGAATACAATTTGCCAATTATTTTTTGTAAATACAAACTTGAAAATCTGTTTTAAAATGTGATGCGCTGTTCTCAAGCTTTGTTATGATGACTATCTGCAGTGAAACCTGAAATTATAGCCCTTAGTTGTGAAGTACAGAGAAATGTATCTTTTTAGATCATCTGTCAGCATATAACTCAATGATATTATCAAAAGTCTATTAACTGCTGTTTTCTATCATTTAAATATATATTTTCAGTGAGAAGTGTTTGTGTAGTGTCTCTCTCCATTATAAAACACATTTTTGGTAACACTGCCTTAAATGAAAATAAAACTCACTGGCAGTTTTGTTTTGCCATTGTGGATTAAATATTGATCTTTTTTTCATCAAGGGCTGTATATTCAAACCATCTTTATTACTTGACTTTTCAAGTAACCTGTAGGGAGAAGATCTCTAAGCATTTCTGTTTTCAAGCAGCATAGTCGATTGCAGAAAACCTGATAGTGAGTAAAATGTGAGTATTTGCAAATACTATAAGTACTCAGCTATAAATATCTGCAAAATGTGGGAAAATCAAACCATAGCAGGTTGTAGGTAGAGTAGGAAATGGATAACAGCAGAACACTATTCTAGATTCACAGTGCATGTCTCCACAAAACAAGAAAAATAAACCAAAATATTGTGTGATAAGACTGATATGAATGATAAAGAAGTGTATTTCCTCTTTCTCTATTCAATTTGAAAACATAAAGTGTCTCACAGCACTCCAATACGGAACATTTAATGTAATTTAAAATGATTCCATTCCTTCTAAAGTCTCCCAGATTCTTCCGTTTTCCTCATCCCAGGATAAGTCTTCTGCCATGTGACTTCAACGCGCCGGCTTTCAACATCACAGATGCTGCTCAAACTAAAGCAAACATGCTTTTTTCCTCATTATAAAGGGTGTATCAAATGGTGGTGGTTTGTTCTCAGTTAGGTCCCACTGTAAGCTTCACAAGGTAGCTGCGAGGCCTCATCGATGGTGACCACCAGTTCTTCCATCTTAATGGTGCTTTGGCAGTCGGAGTGATTGTACACAATGCAGCGCATGTCCACTGGATGTGAGAGTTCCCTCATTTCATTCATGCTGCTGCTGATGCAGTTCACCTCACTCTTGCTCCTGCGGTTATCTGAACGGGGCCCAAACACCCACTCTGGTGAGAGAGACAGATTAGAGATGATTATCAGTCACATTGAGACTCAAATGGATCCAGAGGAGACATTCACTTTGAAACAGGCAAGCTGGGACAATATAAAAACAGATAGGTATTATTCTGGATGCTGATTGGCCAATAGATCATTCCAGTCATGCTAAAAGACATACAGTAACAGCTCTGATGTAAAACAGCTGTTCCCTTTCAGTCAGTCACTTCGACGTTGTGTCGAAGTTATGACACTAGGGGTCACACTTGGTAGCCCAGACACCTCTGACATCATTGAGAAAAGGCCAGTGAAATTGGCAAGCAAATTTTGCATAGTTCTTTTTTATAAAGAACACGAGTCACCTCAGCTGCTTCCCATCCGGGCCCTTCTACTTCCGGGTACGAGGCCTTGATGTTGTGCACTGAAGGAGAGCAAGGAGATGTTGCGGGAGCAGTTCTGCCGGATGAATTCCCACGGACCTCTCATTCCTCCAACTTCACGTGTTCTCCGGTAAGAGTTTCTGGTTGAGTTTGAGAACCCACCTCAATGCGGGTTCGATCTCTCATACAGGGCTTGCGATGAGGATGAGTTGTCTATCTCAGCATCAGAGGGTGGGTCTGACCAATCAGAAGCGGATGACTCGACTAAACCAGCACTGTTACCCGGAGTGCTGTGTGTCAGTCTGAGCCTGATGCTGAGATGGCAAGTCTTACCCAGTCAGTAGAGAGCATCAGGTTTGAGTGGACTCCTCTACCCTGTCCTGAGTGTTCTTGCTTGGATGATTGGTTCTTGGAGACTGAGTATGACACTCAGCTGCACTCCGCCCCAGTTACTTTCTTCCCTGTAGTGCATTAGGAGCTGATGAAATCATGGTAGGCACCTTTCTGCCATAACACGATACACTGGTTCCTCCATTCTCACCACCCTTGACAGCAGTCCAGCAAGGGAATAAACGGGGTTTCCTTGGGTGGAGAGAGCGATTGCAGTGCATTTTGCATGCAAGATGCCGCCGCCTGGAGGGGCCATCCAAAACTCCCGTCTAGAGCATAAGTTACCTTGTCCTTTGTGGCGAGAGCTTATAATGCTTCTGGACAAGCTGTGTCCACTCTGCACACCATGGCTGTCCTGCAGGCATTAATAGCCCAACAAGACTTGGTTCTCGGAGCTCGTGCTGTTGCCATCAGCTCCTCCCTGGCGGATTCCCCTGAGGAGGGACCTTCTCTCCCAGGGGAAGGGCACAATGTGGCACCCATGCCCAGATCTCTGGAACCTCCATGTCTGCTCTATAGATGCGACCAGGAGAAACTCTGAGGTCTTTCACCCGCAGTGGTGAATACCATTACGCAGGCTAGGACCCCCTCTACGAGGCGGCTATAGACCAATTTGGTGTTTGCAAACACTGATGATGTTTTTTGTGAGCGGAGCCTATCTGGTGGCAGAAAATGACAGTTTTAAAGTAGCAGTCTATGGAATAAAACAATTTAAAAAAAGTAATTTTGAGTTTATATTTCAAAATTCTGACTTTTTTAATGCAGGGCTAATACACTCTGTCCCCTATGAACTGCATATGTGAATATTATGTAGACCTATTGTTTAAATCAAATCTATGCTTTAAAAGTGGGGTAATCATAGCAGGTTTCCATAGTCTGTCAGTTTAAATGTCTGCGTTTAGCTTCAAATGGTGTCTTTAATGACAGTATTCTACAAAAATGATTTGCAATCCGATTCTGACATCCAAAGGCACAACAATACATTTTTTTATCTTATTCCATGGATTTTACCCATTTCCATCCACTTGTTACCAGTGTTTTTCTGCCACCACAGTGCGCACAGCTGCAAGTGACGTAACTGTGACGTCTACTCCAAATTGGTCTATATGACCTATATGGCACGTTTTTGTGAATTGGTGTTCTTCCCATGGGAAGGATCATCTGAGATGTAGCATCAGATCTGTGCTATCCTTCCTCCAAGAGGGCCGCCTGTCTGCGTGTACACTCAAGGTGTACGTGGCCGCTATTGCAGCGAACGACAATACTGTAGATGGAAGTTTGGTGGAGAAGCACAATCTGGTTATACGATTCCTAGGAGGCCCCCGGAGGTTGAGTCCTCCAAGGCCACGCCACATCCCTTCTCAGTGGCCCTTCAGGCCTTACAGAGAGATCCGTTGAGCCCCTTCTGTCAGTTGGACTTAGTGCCCTCTCTATGAAGACCACCTTCCTGAATGTGCACACTTCTATCAAGAGGCTGGGGGATCTCTAAGCCCTCTCCGTTAATGAATTGTGCCTAGAATTCAGGCCGGCAGACTCTCACGTTGTCCTGAGACCCCAGCCTGGACATGTGCCCAAGGTTCCCATCACTCCTTCAGGGATCAGGCAGTAACCCCGCAAGCTGTTCCCCCGCAGGAAGGGGACCCTGACCTGTCTCTGTTGTGTCCAGTGCAAGCCCTGCGCATCTATCTGTAACACAGAGTTTCAGATTACCTGAACTGCTCTTTGTCTGCTTGGAGGACAAAAGAAGGGGAATGCTGTCTCCAAACAAAGGATCTCCCACTGGATTGTGGATGCGATTCTTACAGCCTATCAGGCCAGAGGTTTACCATGCCCACTGGGAGTGAGGGTGCACTCAACCAGGAGCGTTGCTGCTTCGTCAGCTTTAATGAATGGGGCCTCACTTGCAGACATTTGCAGATCTGCAGGTCAGGCTACACCTAATATATTTGCCAAATTCTACAATCTGCGAATGGAACCAGTTTCCATGCTACCTCCCCTTCGGGTAGGATGTGGTCTCCGTAGTGTTCTTTTCCTATTTGGAAAAAAGAATGAAAGGGAACGTCTCGGTTACGTATGGTAACCCTCATTCCCTGATGGAGGGAAAGGAGATGTTGTGTCCGTTATGCCACAACTCTGAACTGCTTCTGAGTGGGTTGAGACACTTCTCGATTCCTCAGAACAAAATGATGCTGACCTATTTATACCCGGATGTCCAGGGCGTGACCAGCAATGCAAATTTTGCTCGCTAATTTCATTGGCCTTTTCTCTATGTCAGAGGTGTCTGGGCTCCAAAGTGCAACCCCTAGTGTCAGAACTTCAACACAACGTCTCCGGTACCTCCATCAGGGAACGAGGGATACCATACGTAACCAAGACATTTCTACAGCTGTATATATCTCAGAGCAGCACCCATAGAAACCAATTTTTAAGCTTTGTTTATATGTCAGACACCACACTACCAGTCAAATGCTTGGATTAACTAAGATGTTTTTGAAAGAAGTTCCAAACAATATGAAGCAGCAACTGTTTTCAACATTGATAATATTAAGAAATGTTTCTTGAGCAGCAAATCAGCATATTAGAATGATATCTGAAGGATCACGTGACACTGAAGACTGGAGCAATGATGCTGAAAATTGAACTTTGCATCACAGGAATAAATTATATTTTAAAATAGAAAATGTTTAACTTGTGATAATATTTCACAATACTACTGTTTTACTGTATTTTTGATCAAATAAATGCAGCCTTGGTGAGCATAACAGACTTTCAAAAACATAAAAAAAATGTTCCAATTATTCCAAACTTTATATGCTAAAATAATGTTTCAATAACACTTTTAGGAAAAATCTGCTTAAGGATGTTAAAATATTGCTTCTCAAACTAATGGGTCCTTATCCTCTCCACGTTTTGACATCACTGCAGCAGAAGCACAAGACAACATATAACAGCCTGTGCAGAATTTGTTTTGGACAATGAAGAACCTTGGAGTTACAACTATGAACTACTGAGTCATACACATGCATAAGCTTTTCATATTTTTTCATTTGAGGCTTTTTCAGTCTCAATTTTTGATAAAAATAACTTTTTATGAAGAACTTTCGTAAAAAATAGTAATAAAAACGTGATAGGAAGCACAAAACACAATAAATGGCAGTAAACAGCCTCTGGCAGCAGAAGTGAGAGGTTAAACCATAGTAATCTGTGCTGACTGGTGAAGAAATCACACAAGTTTGAGATGAACATACACATTCATATGCAATGCACTCAAGTACACACATTTGATTACTGATGACAGTAATGTACCAAGACTTTGGTGAGCCATGCACACTTTCAGAAATGCATTATTCAAACATCACACATTATTATTCAAGGACATAAACTAAGTTAAAAACTTGATTAGCAGGTCTGATTTAAAAAAATTCAATAAAACTAAAATGATATGCAGCACTTCTTTATGAAACAAGCCGGATGAATCTCACTAAAACTGTCAAGTATATGTCCAGGTCATACATCACAATTCATAAAAACAAATCTGATATTCCAATTACGAAGCAATAACAGCATCTTTCTGTAATGCAATACACACTACACATTATCCATGAGCCCCAGGCTGCTGTCTGACTGCATTAATTAAACCCTTTGCAGTTCACCTATTGTGAATTATAGTGCTACTCGATTAATGATTCTCTAATGAAACTCTAATGTGTGTCATCCAGTCTGAATGCTCCATCAAACTGAACACTAACTGAAACCACCAGCCTATATACACAGCCATGGGCTGTATACTAAACGCATTCGTCCTTCGACTCAGAAAAGCACCCTGGAATTAAGATGAGCAAATACAGCAGCAGCAGTCTGAAGTGTGTGAGTAAACAAAAGTGGCTGATAAGCAGCGCCAGAGCCATGTGATGGCATGAAAATTTCCCAACAGACGAATGTACTGTATACCAATTAGGCTGAACTGTTTCAGAGGGACAGGGAAAAGAGCATGGCAAAATGATCAGGATGTGTACTTTTGCGTCTATTAGTTTTTCGTTTTTTAACCAAGACGAAAAAATTTAACGGCTGTTGTAGCTATTTTTAAATGTTGAAAACCAAAATTGAAATTAGAACCGTACACACATAATGCTGCACGAAAAAGTAAAACATTGACTTCTTTTCAGATTTTTGTTTATGGTTTTTAGCACCTTTAATAAACATTTTCAAAATGCACAAATTAATATAGAATTTTTTTTATT